TAAGCGCGCCAGATAAAGCGAGACAATTAATTGGAAATTGAATTGCAGACAGGCAGAGATAGAGACGTGAATCGTTGTGAATTACAGCGTGTGTTTAAGTTAAAGTGACTGTGGAAATTAAGTGTATTGCAAAGTTGTACTGAGAAAGAATAAACTAGTTTTATTTAAGAAAGGACTTGTATCGCTGTAGTTTTTCGGAAAGAATTTCTAAGGAAAATTAACCAACGACCAGAGACGTAACAGTATGATTTGTTGAATGAAGTGAACAATACCTATAAATTAAACATTAGATTCAGAAGCAGTAACATATTTTCAAACTAGTGAAAACTCATAATAGGAAAAACAGACAAAGACATAGTAATTACTTCATAAACAATTCCGTATCAGGCCACCAACAACAACTGAGCCTAAACTTGGGATTATTTTAAAAGTCACCTAGCAGTAACTCACTGGCAGGTTAATGATATTCACTGTTGTAGTATTAATTATAAAGACTGTAACCATTTTATCAATTTGAAAATTAATATATTTTTATTCAGAAGTATTTAGGTGAAATTTCAAAACATAAGCTTAAACATTTTACTGAATAGGACGTTCCTAAACTCGATTTGCGCTAATCTTATTTTAAAACTTGTTGAATTCAGCAAGAGATCAGTACGAAAACATACACATCCACTCTTGTGATATCTGCTTTGGTTTAGTATCCAGGTTATTCTGAGTATTTAATCTACAAATTTATTGTTTGTTTGTTAAATTATGTGCAAAACTACTTGAGGGTTATCTGCACTAACCATCCCTAATTCTAAAGTGATAGACTAGAGAGAAGGCAGCTAGTCAACATCATTTACCACCAACTCTTGGGCTACTCTTTTACAAACAAATAGGTAATTGATCATTATATTATAACACCACTACGGCTAAAAGGGTGAGTATGTTCAGTGACAGGACTAGAGCTCGAAACTCGCAGGTTGTAAGTCGAGTGCCAATTCAGTTCTCTTCTCGTCTACCAAAGTAGTTATGTAGAAAATTAGGAATGTTGTAAAATTTTAATTTCCCATTCGCTATCAATTAGACCGTTTTCATGATTTTCGTATTTCTGGAAGTTCTGATAGTATTAGAGTTGAATTTAATCTTGGGCAGAATTGTCTGAATATTTGTCCAGGACAGTTGTTTAAAATTTGCCATATTGCTGTGTACAAAGAGGCTGGTGAGAAAAGAAAAGAATAGAAATAGATAATGGTTCACATGCGACTTTCTTTCCTTGTTGTTTTAATTGAAATCATTTTTGTTTGTTTGTTTTAAATTAAAACCACTTTATTCGGCTTCAGTTTCTTTTAGTTGAGTGTGACTTATTTACAATTTGCATACAACTTATTATAATCTCCTGCCGTTGTGGTCTTAGTAGTTAATCTAAATAAAAACGTATTCATTTATGATATTTTAGACATAATGTCATTTCCATCTGTGTGATGAAAGATTTTTTTCCATTAAAATATGTTCTCGTTTTTCTGTCAAGTAAAAACTATAGGTTTTGATTGCATTCGTTATTTCTTTTGTACTTTAGTAATTATTAGTTATTCTTCTCCATTCAAATACTTTTACATCAGAATGACTTTAACGTATTACTTCCTGTTTTTTAGGCAGGAATCCATATCTGTAAATGTTAAATACTGCAGCGTATTTACAGTTGTTCTTTTTGAGAATGCATTTATTTTGAATGTTGATCATTGTACATGAGTTATATGTTGGTATTTCCTTACCGATTTGGATTAATATTGGGATAAACCATGGCGTTTACTGTTGTCTCAAGTTTAAAACACCCACTTTTTGTACTCTTCGCTGCTTGGAAGATTTTTATAAATACAGAAACATCTCAAAAGTAAATAGATACCATGATTTTTTCCATAGTCATTTTTCTCACATTATCAACTAGACAAAAATGTTTACAAATGTGCATCAGTACTTAGTCGATTTGCCACTAACATTTTTCAGTACTTTAACTCGTTCTGCAAGTTTCTCCTGTAGGATCTTGACCCAGGCTGCACGCAAAACATCAAGTAACTTTCCACGGGACGTTGGTTTTCTGGAACTTCTTCTCACTGCTAGTGCAGGTATGGCCCAGACATGCTCGATGGGGGTTCATATCAGGTGACTGACTTGGCCATGGGAGCCGTTGGATGCCTTTCTTAATTAAATGACTATTGAATAAACATCGTGGTGTCTATTTACTTTTGAGATGCCTCTGTATATGTAGATATCATGAAACTAAACTCTTTCGTCCACCAGTGGGACAGTAGCAAGTCTACAAATGAGAGATCTGCCTTGATGAATAAAGTATCTATACTGTAAGTTTTCCAAAAACCCTCATTGAGCATAAAACTACAAATTTAAAAAGAAAATTATATCCTCAAAAGTATACATATGTAACACACATGTAGTACTGTTGATCAAATAGAAGGATGGATAACATATGCATATGACAACTTTTAATTTAGTTTTTTAGAGTACCCACATTTTATTTTCTTCCAAAAATTATAGCAGTCTGAGAAATTAAAGAGTAAACACTTTCGTCTGATAAGGTAGTCTTACTACAAACACTTACTAACTTGTCAACATCACCATACCTATTATCTACACAAACTTTTCGTTATCCTTAAAATGGTTGTTTGAAAAAACTTTGAAAATATTTTACACTTAGTGTGAATTCTTCAATTTACAGTCCAAACGCGCTAAACTCGAGCCCACGCCAGGCTATGCGCGTTTTAAATTATGTGTTCAATTATTTAATGAAGACAAAATTTAAGTATATAAGTGAACTAACTCTACTCTATGTATTCTTATAATAAATACATGTTATCATATTTTTGAAACTTAATTTGTTGGAAGTTTCGGGTTTTTACCTATCTGTTTAAAAAAGCTTATAATTATTTAAGTTATTAACATTGCCTTTTGGATAAAAACAACGAAGAAATGGTACTTAAATAGAAGGTACTTTACAACGACCTTCAGTATAGTTCCGAGTAAAGATTTATCCTGAAGTAAACTTGTGGTAACTATTGATTTAAATTCATTATATGATAATTTTAAAATATTTTTTTACAAGCACGGGAACAGTTAGGTTTTTGCAAACATCTTATGTGCAAATAATACCAGAAACGATAACTTTAGAATTATGAAGCCCAATGAGGTTTTTGTGCCGTTAAATATATTTGAAAGACGAAACAAATCTGTTATCATGTCTGACGTAATTAAATTATCATTTTTCCTGTATCTGTATCAATGTAGGGGGATTGACTGATAAAACTACGTACACTCCAAGCAATTCTATCTGTGCTCTGCCTACCACGGGTATCGAAATCCGGTTTTAGTGTTGTCAGCCCGCAGACATACAGCTGTGCCACTGAGGGGCTTGAAGTGTTTAAGAACAGATTATTATCCCCTTGTAAAAATATATTTAAATATATAAAAATGGTGATTAAACAAAAAGTCTTAAATCTTTTGTTTATTCAGTTTTTCAAGTGACCGAACCTCCTATAGATCACGTTCTCAGCTCGAATGGACAGACACCTGTAACTGACTTAAGGAATTTATGTAGTGTATTTCATATTAGTGTTACTCCATAACAGGTGAAAGACTAACGTGGCGTCTTTGTAGTTAGATTTGTAAATAATTAGCTATTTTATTCATACTCTTTAGTCAAATAGTTATATATTTATCAATCAAATCCCCGTATTTTCATAGCTCTTTAAACAGTATTTCGGATAAACAAGCCAAAACGTGAATGTATCTAAAAGATATCTGTAAAAATCGGCAACGTTCGATAAAAGTGTATTAACGAATTTCTTATTACAGTTAAAAGCATTGAAATCTCACTGTGCTCAGCTGGGCAAATCAGAAGATCGTTTTCAATGTTGATGTTACTCTTGTAATGCTAATGACACGTTTACAATGCTCCTGTAATGGTGATAGTTTTCTGTAATGTTTTGTTTGTTTGAATTTCGCGCAAAGCTACACGAGGGCTATCTGCGCTAGCTGTCCCTAATTTAGCAGTGTAAGACTAGAGGGAAGGCAGCTAGTCATCACCACCCATCGCCAACTCTTGGGCTACTCTTTTACCAACG